TTTTTTTTTTTTAATCTTAAAAATAAATATTGTTCATATTTTCAGAGGCAAAATCCATTAAAATATAATTTGACATTAATCGAAAATACTATTTATTTATCATATTTGTGTTTATTGAAATATGTTATCAAGGAATTAATGCTTGAGGGAAAGGGAAGATTTTCTAATCTTAACTTACCATATTTTAGTTATTCACATATTGTGTATTTGGATTTAATTATCTTCCTAACTTGTAGGCAAAGAAAATATATTAGATTCATTGGGAGATTTTATATTATATATATTCCCTTTTCCTTGTTTTGTTTTGATATTCCTTTCTATATATTATGGTAATTATTTAATTGTCTTATTTTACTCGAAAATGAAGAACAAAGATGATAAAAAATAAAAATAAAAAAAAAAATCTTGTGAGATTTGAGAGCTGGAATCTTGAGGAAGAAAGCTAGAAAATCGAGCAAAAAAAAGAAAGAAATCGACAAGAAGATATTTCCGAAAGTTCGCATGAAAACAAAGAAAGAAAGTTCGCAATATTGAATAGAGAGAAAAATGGTTAAATCTGGAAGATTTGGGCAAGATATTCGAGCATCCTGATCTACAAGGCGCGGAGATTTAATTTCCAAAGCTGAACAAGAAGATCAAGTAAACTTGAAAACTCCAGATTTCTGATGAACCTGCATACCGTATATAGTTTATATATATTACTTTCACGAGTTCTTGTTGTAAATGAGCTATTCATTATTCATTTAGAGAGATCAGATTTTTATTCATTGAGAGCTTATGAGGTTTGTTTAGATCTTATTGAGTGATTGGATTCCAACATGTTGGTTCATTGCTGATAATTCGAAATCTTGTTATAATTAGAAGGTATTAGATTAAATTTGGTCCAAGTAACATAAAGTCAATCAAATAATTCGTTAAATTCGAACGTACCTTCAATATCCATTATCCATGATTTGGGTTTTATTCATTTCCTTCAAAACACTTTTTGAGATTTCAAGAATTTGGATATATTTTATGTTGTATCCATTTATAATTTTAATTAAGAAGTCTTAGAAAGTATGAGTCAAATTTGAGATTTAAAAAGTTATAAAAAGACATGAGATATTTATTTATTTGGGATTTCAAAAAATTTTAAAATGTCATGGTTTTTTAATTTATTATCACTTTGATTTGTTGTGACTTTTTAATACCCCATGGTTTGATTGGATATGAAGGTGTGTTTTTTTATTTATTGGATTAAAAGAGTTAGATTGAAAAAGTTTGACTTGAAAGTTGGATTTAATTTTGAGTATGTGAATGAATATGAGTTAAATGTAATAATTAAGGTTATACTAGTAAAATAATGATTACTACTGTAAAAAATGGAATTGATTAATAATGCATTTTGTTGAAAAGCGTGTAATAATGATATTATTTTATTATATTTATAATACTGAAGAGAATTAAAGTTGGATTAAACTAGTTTTGGATTTGAGTTAAAAATTTGTATCAAACTGTAGTTATGTAAGAAAAATAAAAATATTCAGCGAGTCAAAAGAAACGACCAAGTAAAACAGGTCAACTATTTAAGTGGGACCCAAACAACTGAGATAAATCTGAAGCGAGCTAAGTGGAAAAGATAACAACTAAGTAGGTTATACGCCTTAGGGTGAACAACCTATTTGACTTGGATAAAGGCTAGATAATTTGGAGAAGATGTGACCTAAAAGCATGGAACCTATTAACACTCAGCAAAAAGACATGAAGAGCCCAAACCTATAGACATATAGCACGACGACCTAAGTAAAGAATAACTTGCGGACATAGGACTTGATAAAGTGTTGACCTAATTAAGATAATGATGAATCTAATTACGATAAAGATGAAATTAAGATAATGATGAACACAAAACAGATAAGGATTAACATCGGACGATCGGACAACTCCAACCACAATGACCCTAGGCAGTCGGACAACTCCAGCAGCCAGAAATCTTGGACACTAAGGTATTCCCGTATAGAAGGGGATGTGGTACAACTGAAACACTCTATTTATTCTTTCATAATTTTCTAGATACATACATCATCTTCTTCCCCGTTCTGATCAGTGACTTGAGCGTCTGAGTGTTCACGTCAGGAGCTCCTCTTAGCCCTTATGTTGCAGGTAGTCAACTATTCTTGGACCGTTTGAAGGTTTTAGTAGCCGGTTGAACCCATATCCAAGTTTTGACACATCATAGTGTATCTTGTAAATTATGTATGAAAATAAATCTAAATAAATTTATTAGCATTTTTAGCCTAGGTTATGCTGCATAGTAAGAGCCTAGCAAATTTTCTAACTTTAATTAAATTATTATCCAATTCTTTTTCATAGCAAATTATTTATAATTTCATATATAAAGATATTTATCCCACAATGTATTATTTTAAAATACCCTCAATTTGATTTTACTTTTTTTGTTGCGTCTATTTTAATAATAGACTTGCTATAACTACACGATATTGACGACATTATTACTAAATTTAGATAAGCAATAATTTTAGAAACATGTTGTTAATAGATTTTAAAAGTATAAATAATTTAAAATAAAGATAATGTGAAAAATATATATATAAAAATATAAGAAATTTTCTATAATTGATTTCTAATATTTAAAACAAACCGAAATATCCTCCCTATATATAAATCTCAAATGCGCTGAGCCTACGTGGTTGCTTCTGGTGCTTCGAAATCTTACTTGGCGAAGAATCATGCTTCGTAATTAGGTTTGGACAAATAATATTGATATATTAATAATTAGTAATTTAAGTTCGGACATTCCATAAATATTATTTAGCTAACTTAGGTATTTTAATATCACTTGTACTAATATAACCCTTTAATTCCTTGTAATTTTATATAGTGAGACACTAAGTGACTAATATATCCCCGACTTTTGATTTGTTTCTTTCAATTAGCTATTGAATTGTAAATGTATTTAAAAGTTGATAACTTTTTGTATTTTTTATCGTTTTACATATATAATATATCAAATTAATCATCTTTTGATGATTTTCGATTTGATATTTATATTGTATATATTGAAATAAATAAATTATATTTATATTTATAATAATAAAATATAATTATATTTATTAAAATTCATTAGAAAAATAAAATTATTTTCCAATTGATATGTTTATGTTTAATGTAGTTATATGTTGTAAGTTAAAAAAATTATTATAATATAACACAAGTAAGTCGCACAAATATAATATGTCATAATAAATATATAATAATATATATATATATATTTCTATAAAAGGTATTTAAATTTTTAATTATTTTTTCTCATTAATTTTAGATTTTAAGAAAGAAATTAGCAAGCACCCATACAATACACGGGAGTTGTACTAGTTCTTGCAATAATAAAATATTTAAAACCATGTCAAAGTTAGAACCAAATTTGCAATTCACAATATTTTATGGCAATAAAACTTTCGTATTAACTAATTCTAACGTTATGTTAATGTATCGATAACTCGATGGGACTAAAATTGTAACAAAAAAATTAAAGTTCTTTTGTAATTTTTGATATCAGATTTATAAGAAATGTTACGGTCTTGTTACGATACTATTCGGTCAAGTGTTTTAATCATTGAATCATATATTTTAACTAACTACATGTGAAACCAACGGATAAAACACCCGACGAGATATTACCGGTTTTCATCACCCAAACATTCCCCAAATATACAACTAGTGTAGTGGAACAAATTTTACAATTTTCATTAAAAAAAAAAATATAAAAAAGGAGCGCATTCCAAAAACAGAGCACGTATGCTTCCAGAAGGCACTCAAGCTTTCCCAATTTATGTTCACTCTTGAATTTTCTTCACAGCTCCGAATTGTTCCTTCTCAAATTGCTTTCATGCTCGCGCATATCATTTCTTCATCAGCTCAATAAAATTTCCCTCCTGAGGAACAAAAAAGAAGAAAAAAATGGCAGCTTACCGATGGAAGTCGTTCTTTGAAGACGAGGATCGCCCGGAGAAGCCCCGGAGCTTCGGGGTCACCGAGATGAGAGGACCCCATTATACCCTTTCCTCCCAGAATCTTCTTCAGGTAACCCTATTTTTCTATTATTATGTTAGGTTAATTTGGGATTAGGTTTAGTTCTTCTAAAGATTGGATTTTGCATCATGGGTTCTTTTAATTTTTTTTTGTTCTATCTTTTCTTTTGCTGTAGCATAAGCCACCACAGTGTATTTTCTTGCAGCTTATTGAACATCTATGGTTAGATTTGTAAGTTTGTTTTGTTCATTTTTATAATTGCCTGCTATCAGCTTACAGTGACTATTACAGAAAAATGAGTTAAAATTAATCAGGTGAGAAAGCTTAGTTGTGCAGCTTGGGGTTGTGGGCTGTGTGTTTCAACTTTCAATTAATGCTCTTATTGCACATAAAATGTGCAGGAAGTGTTCGATTCTATGGGAGAGTTTGTTGATGGGTTGAAGTTTTCTGGTGGTTCTCACAGCTTGATGCCCAAAAGCTACATTGAGGAAGTAATTAAAATGGCACATAAGCATAACGTGTATGTTAGCACTGGTGGCTGGGCCGAGCACCTACTCCGAAAAGGCCCTTCTGCTTTTGAAGACTATATTGAGGTGGGAAGTGAACCAAATTATTCTCACACACTTTAGTTAATGATCTTTTTTTTTTTTCTAAAAGCAAACATTTGTTTTTACGAATTCTTGTAGGAATGTAAGCGATTGGGGTTCGACACTATTGAGATTGATGCCGGTTTGCTCGGTATACCAGAAGATGTTCTGTTGAGATATGTGAGGCTGGTTAAGAATAGGGGTCTTAGAGCTAAGCCTTTATTTGCTGTCAAATTCAATAAATCAGATATACCAGTAAAAAATGATGGAGCATTTGGATCTTACGTGGTCCCAGTACCCCGGTCTTCGGGTGAGCTTCATTTTTCCATGGGATGAAGTTAAAAAAGATAAAAATAAAAGAAAAAAATAAAAATAAATCCACAATGATGTACCGCAGGTTTTAATTTTGTTTGCCTATATGTTGCAGAGCTTGTTGAGGATGTTGATCTTCTGATTAGAAGAGCTGAGAGATGCCTTGAAGCTGGAGCAGACATGATAATGATTGATGCTGATGATGTCTGTAGGCAAGCTGATTCTATGAGGCCCGATATTATAGCCAAAGTCGTGGGTCGTTTAGGTCTCGAGAAGACAATGTTTGAGGCATCAAATCCCAAGACTTCCGAGTGGTTCATCAAACAATATGGTCCTAGGGTAAAGGCTTATCTTTTATTTTTTATTTTTATTTATTTATTTTTTTATTTTACTTCAAAAAAAATTAAAATCCTATTTTCTTTGGAATTAGGTAAATCTCTTTGTGGATCATTCTCATGTGATGGATTTGGAGTGTCTCCGTGGGCGTAACCTGGGTAAAGATCATTCGTCTGTTCTTGGTTCGTCGTATTTTCTCTTTTAAGCTTATGTGTTGTTAAGAGGCAAAAAAAGTTCCCAGCTGGAGAATAATAAAGTTTTTTGTCAACTTCGTTCAATATCTTTGTTATAATTTGTATCGTGTTGAATGTGTGTTCGGAGTATGGTTGACTGGGCTGTATATACATCCTGCAGTTTGTATGCATGTTGTGTATGAAGATAATGTGTTCATAACTTCATATCAACCTATAATTTGTTTCCCATTCTTTTTTTTTCATATATATTAATTTTTGGTGTCAACGATCTGCTGTCTAGTCTGATTAGATTCATCGAGTATCTTATTATCACATTAACAGTTGAAACTATGTTGTTTAAGTGTGAAATTTGTTAGTTGCTCGTGCATTTTGCTTGTGGTGTCCACATATGTAGCTTCGAAACATGTGGATTGAGCCGTTGGATCTATATGTACAGACCTGTACAGATATGTGTGATTGTATGCAATCGAACAACAAAAAATTTTGTAGGGATACTACGCATGGGTAGGGCCGGATTTGTCGTTTATGACAAGAAAATGATAGTACACAAATGGAGAAGTAGTGTAACATGTATTGTATAAGCTTTAGTGATTAAGAAAGAATACTTATTAATTGTAAATTAATGAGAGTGTATTCATTTAGGATTTCTGAGGACTTTTTAAGCTTGTGTAATTTAATTTAGACTTTTTAATCCTCTAAAAAGTTTTGAGGTGTTCATTTGGATTTTTAAAAAGTTTACAAAATTATGAGGTATTGGATTTGTTTAGACTTTAGTAGATTCATTGGGATTTCGCAAGGAAAAAAGCATGTACGAAATCTCACTCCAAATTTCCCGATACTTGAGTTTTACATCATTCCTCTTGATTCTGAAAATTTTAAAAACATTTAAATCTCAAAAAGTGTGAGAATGTCGCTCCAAATAACAGATCATTTGAAAGGATTTTGCTTCCACTCTACATTGAAAAATTGAACTAATGATCGACAACGTTAGTTTATTTGCGACCGCGCAGTTTAATTAGAAGAATAACCCAAAAAAAAAAAAAAAAGTATCAGGAGATATATAAGGATAAATATAATGTTTCCCAACTCGTATTGTGAATGCTTTTAGATTTTTCTAAAGTATTTTTTTGGTAAAATAAAATTTAATCAATGCATTTTGATCATAAAATCATATGAATAATCCAGAAATTCTATGGCACCACATGTGATACTATATTATGGTGTCACAACATATTGTGACACATTATGATTGGTGCCACAACATGAAGTGTGATAGTTGTGGCACCAATCATAATGTGCCACATCATGTTGTGGCACTATAATATGGTGCTACATGTGGTGTCATAGAATTTCTGATGAATAATCACACACGTTAAGATATATTAAAGGTTGCAAATTATATTTTTTAACAAAATCTCAATTTGGAAAAAAAAGAAAAAAAATGAAAAAAAAAACTTTAAATTATAATAGCGAAAACAAGTGATCCATCACATGTTGTAAATTTTGGCTATGTTCGATAACCAAATAAACTAGCTTATATGGTTAGTTTATAAATTCTTGTATTCGAATAAGTTTTATTTGGTAGGTTGAGT